GGAGGCCGGGGCAGAGCGGCCTCGCGGGGTCCGAGGGTGGCGTCCCGAGCGTCTGGGACACCGGGGGCCGCACGCGTGCTCTGCGCGCGGTCCCGGGAGCGGGGGCGAGCGCGCGGAGAGTTTGGAGGCCCAGCGGGGCGCGGGCGCCGGCCTCCGCCTCGGCGCGGCGAGCTGCGGGCGAGCGCGGCCGTCAGGCCCGGCCTCAGGGCTCGCCTGGCAGCCGGGAAACCCCGGGTTCGGGCCCCATCCCGGGAGCGCCGCCTCGCAGCCTGCGCTTCCCATTCATTCGTCGGCGGATCTCTGGCTGCCCCACAGCGGGTTGTCCAACAGGTTACTCTGCCCAGGCTGTCCGCTGTGATTTTAGGAAGGCCCGGCCTGGGAGCCCGGATCTGATTGATCCGCCGATCAGCTGCCAACTGGGTGCCAGGCGTTTCGTTTCACCGGGCTCAGTTGGGAGTGCAGGAACCTGATTTGCTCAGTTTCCTCCCCCATCGCTTGGTTCTTTGCCTCCGGGGTCTCATCCTTTGCCACCTCATGGCCACCGAGATCCAGTCCCTTTTCTCTCTAAGATAAAACTAGAAAGACACCTGCTGATCGCAGCTTGAAGTCATTAAGAAAACCGGTTTTCTCTCTTGATGGATGCGAATTTATGTGACTTGAAAATACATGCTCTGAAGGTCACCCTGGACGACTTTGTTACAGGCAATATATAATTTCTGATGGGTGGGTGTGTTTGAGCTGAGTTTGACTATCGACTTTTTCGTGGGTCTAAAATTCACGGGGCGCTTATTATGTGAAGGCAGATTTTGGGCCCCAGGCGTCCAAGGGGGCAATCCTGTAGGCTAGACACAGTCCCAGGAATTTTCGTGCTAACAGCCTTGCTGGTGACTCTAGACTGGACTCTGTAAAACACTGCTCAGGGGATGTAAAGACACTCACGCCTCCCTCCCCTCCTTGGTTATAACTACCTTCTATGGTACCTTTTAGCTCTTACATTGTTTACTGTTGCATTCCCAAGTGACAGCTGCCATCAGAAAAAGAATCCACACTTACACAAGCCATCTGTTTCCCCCCACCTTTGTTTTGTGTAAGGCCTTTGAGATTTTTCTGTATAATTGTGTACAGACAAAAGATGAGCACGTGGGGGGAAAAATTCGGCAAACATTTCTTTAGGACCTTCTGTGTGCTATACCCTGCTGGGCTCTGGGGATGTAAATCCCTTGAAAAAGCTGTATTATTTCTTCATGGCATTATTACTATAGAAAAGGAGGTTAGGACACCTTAAAAATATAATGACTAAATATATTTGTTGGCTGTAGGAAGGGCATCAGTATTGATTTTCTTATAGAGTTTGTGGAGCAGTTATCAAAGTATGAATCATGGCTCTTTTTGCTTAATCTTTTTACGTTTGAGTGCGTATTGTCAACCAAATTGAAAACAGGTGTTCTGTAGAACTTGCCTTTCCCCCCTGTATTGTTATAAAAATATTTACTCCAACTTCTATTTGGGTGGGCTCTGAGGTTTATAGGCCAGCTTATGTTAGCTGAACTATTCTAGACAAAGCATTCTTTTGTTTGATTACTATATTATTGGATCCTAAGACCTTTTATTTTTTACTGTTTCTGAAGTTGTGAGGCACCTTACTCACGATCCTTAAGATTTTTGTGTTCTTAATGTGATAGGATATTTTCCCTTCCACCCTCCAAAAACTATTAAAAGGAATGATTGTCTTGCAGTACCTAGTGTGAGAGTCAGAGAAATGGTGTATTTGCCCAGTAACCTTGAAGCTAGGTTCCAATTAACTGAGCCTCAAATCATTTCAGCATGAACATAGAGAAACAATAAATGATGTAACTTTTGGCAATATGAGTGGTGAAATTTATATTCTAACAAAAGCATTTGTTATACAGTATCGGGGTTTATTTTGTTAATGTTTTTAGATGGAAAAAAGTCCTTAAGCAATTTTATTTTGGCTTAAGTGGTTTGATACTTTGTTAAACCACACTTTCTGGTGAATGTGCTTATACTGCATTTGTATATTATGCTTACAAGCCTTTCACTTGTATCTTCCTGCTGGTTACTCTCCTTAAATAAGTTTTATTACTTTTAAATTTTTTGGTAGAGATAGGGTCTTAATATGTTGCCCAGGCCTGATTGCTGTGGTGTGATCATAGCTTGCTGCAGTCTCAACCTTATGGGTTCAAACAGTCCTCATACCTCAGCTTCCCAAATAGCTGGGACTACAGGCACATACCACCACACTTAGCTAATTATTTTTAAGTTTTTTGTAGAGACAAGGTCTCACTGTGTTGCCCACGCTGGTCTTGAACTTCTGGGCTCAAAGGATCCCCCCACCTTGGCCTCCCAAAGTGTTGGGATTACAGGTGTGAGCCATCGTGCCTGACCAAAGCTTTGGTTCTTTGAGAATTCAAGCTTGTGTGTTTGACTTAACAAGAATAGGAAACGCTCAGAAAATATGTCTCATTGTTCACATATCTTAAAACATGAGTTTTTTTTTTCTTCTTCCAGGTTTAAACCCTTACCCCTCTATTGTAGACTTTTTTTTATTACTTTATATTAGTTTTCCACCATGGTCCTGTGTTTCCTTACCACAAGCACTTGACCATTTGAAGGAACTGAACTGTTTTAGATTTTGATATTTTGACATTTCCTCTTCTTAATTCGTATTCCGTTCGTATTCTGTTCACATCTGGGTTGCATTCTAGGGTTCTTTTATAAGTTGTTGCAGTGTGTAACACTACATTCCATGGTGCTTCCTTCCCAGGCCTGATTACTAATTCTACTCTGTCTACAGTGTGGCTGAAATACTGCTTAGTTATTTTATTTTTATTTTTTATTTTTTTGAGTTGGCGTCTTACTCTGTCGCCCAGACTGGAGTGCAAGTGGCCGCTCCCGGCCACCGCAGCCTCAACCTGCTGGGCTGTGGCGATCCTTCCGCCTCAGGCTTCCAAGTAGCCGGAATTACAGGCACGCGCTACCACGCCCGGCTAATTTTTTGATTTATTGTAGAGATGAGGTCTCAAAGTCAGAAGAGCTGCAAACCGTAATCTTGCAATTCTATTAGCTCAACAAAATAGGAGACATAACATTTATAAATAAGTTAGTGGTTTTTGCAAAACTTTTTTTATAAGCACAGTGATTCTTAACCCTTTGGGGGGGACAGAGACTCCACTAAGAATCTGGAAATAAGGGACTCTCTTCCCAGGACAAAAAAGAAAAAAATACTTTAAAAATAGAATTTTGCAGTCTAAGAAAACTTATATAGTTTGAATTACAGTTCTTGAAAACAAATGGGGGAGATTTACATTATAAGTGAAACAGTAGTTGTGGTTTGGGGGCATTTGTGAGAGAACTTTTGGCAGGCTTGGGAGTGTAGTTCCTTCCTCTTGCCGCTCAGAAGTGTACCCCAACCAACAGTGTTGTCATCACTCAAGAGCTTGTTAGAAATGCAGAGTGTCAGGCCTTGCTTTCAATCTATTGAATCATAACCTGCACCTTAGACGCCCAGGACATCTGTGGTCACATTAAAGTGGGAGAAGTGTTGTGTTAAAGATGAATGATATTGGCGTTTTATTTTGTCTTATTTTGGTTAAAAGATAGAGCTTTTTAAAGACTTGGTACATAATTACTTTAGGTTTCAGTCTTCAGCCCCTAATTAGGTGTTTTGTTTGTTTTTGCTTTTAATAAAGGGAGTCCCTGACAAAGTGGCGATTTTTCAGGAGTAAGCTCAGATGTGGACTTCAGGAGGTTCAGGTGGTTAGTGAAGACTGGAGCCACATTTGGCTCCAGCCGCCAGGTGACACCACTGGTCAGAACCTGTTGCCTGCTGTCCTACAACAGTAGGGGGTGGGTGCCGTGGCCAGTAGCACCTGGCAGGGGGCAGCTGTCAGTTGTTTTCCAGTGAAGTGTCTGTAACTCCAGGAATGCCTAATGAGATTCGGGACCTGGTGCAGATTGTAGCCAAATTCAAGATATTTGACTTTGCTGTGTCGATGGTTACAGGCTAAATGTATGAAGAGGAAATGCGGAGGCAGTTGAGTGGTTTAATTTGGGATAATTATACTGCCTAATAAATAATGAATTCGCTGGGCTCGGTGGCTCAGCCTGTAATCCTATGCTTTGGGAGGCTGAAGTGAATGGATTGCCTGAGCCTGTGGGTTCGAGACCTGCCTGGGCAACTTGGCGAGACCGCATCTCTACAATAAATAAAAAAATCAGCCGGGCATGGTAGCGCGTGCCTGTAATTCCGAGTACTCGGAAAGCTGAGGTGGAAGGATCGCTGGAGCCCAGCAGGTCGAGGCTGCAGTGGCCGGGAGCGGCCACTGCACTCCAGTTTGGGCGACAGAGTGAGACTCCAACTCAAAAAATAAATAAATAAATAAATAAAAATAATAAATGAATAAATAATGAATTCCAGGGCTTAGTGCTTGTATACAAGAAAAACATGTTTTCCTTCAGATGAGTGTGTGATCTGAGTGTTGTTTGAGGGTGAATCATACCTGGGAAGACATGGCATTCATAGGGCTTAAGGCTGTCACACATCTTGAGGGAAGTAACATTGACCTAGTGATACACTAACATCGACACTGGCACCTTGTGTAACCCTGATCACGTGTGTTTTGTTCTTCTGGTAGGTTTGCATTTCCATCCGGCTTTGACTTGAAGACAGAACGATGCCAAAGAAAGGAAAGTCTGCGGGGAATGGGCGGGACGAAGAGCCTGTGCCCTGCAAGCAGGTGAAACTGGAGGCAACTGGGGGGCCTTCCATTCTAAACTTTGACAGCCCCAGTGGTCTCTTTGAAAGCTTAATCTCACCCATCAAGACGGAGACATTTTTCAAGGAATTCTGGGAGCAGAAGCCCCTTCTCATTCAGAGAGATGACCCTGTACTGGCCACATATTATGGGTCTCTGTTCAAGCTAACAGATCTGAAGAATCTTTGCAGCCAGGGTGTGTATTATGGAAGAGATGTGAATGTCTGCCGGTGTGTCAATGGGAGGAAGAAGGTTTTAAATAAAGACGGCAAAGCACACTTTCTTCAACTGAGGAAAGATTTTCATCAGAAAAGAGCAACAATTCAGTTTCACCAACCTCAGAGATTTAAGGTAACAGGTTTTCCCATGGCAGAATCCTCATACATATCAAAGTGCTGACATTTGGGCACAGATCAGCTCAGGGATGAATGTGTGGTATGATGATGATTAGCCTCCTGCCAGTTTGGAGAATGTTAGCACCTGTTTTGTGTTTAATGCCTCCTAACTTAGGAGAGTGTGTTATCTTTTGGCTAAACTCGTGGAAACTTCAGCGTCTCCGGGTAGACGTTGTTGGGCATCCTCGAGCTGCAACAACTAAATTATATTACAAGTTTACAAGTTAAATTATATTACAAGTTTATAAAGTTGTTAAAGCAGCACTCACCTCCAGGAGCATGTTTCATGGGAAGGTTTATGTTTTTCTATGCAGCAGACATTTCTCTTTGGTTTCTTCTACCACTGTCAATGAAGGCATGAGAGCATCAAGGTGATTGTTTTTCTTGAAGTTGCCTCCCTTTCCTGCCTACATCTGTCCAAGTAGAGGCTTCAGAGCCATGACCAGATCACATGTTAGGTGTATGTTCAAGAGACTTCACGCTTATGAATAGCCAAATGGGGTACATTGAGGTCTGGGGTCCTAGAACTGCTCCTGGTGATGCCACAGGTGGAAAAAATCTTTGATTTGCAAGTTCAGATGGCTTGCTAATTTTTAAATTTGTTCTACATCTGTGATTGACATAAGATAATTTGTCTCCTCTGTGCTCAGTTTCTGTATTTATAAAATGCAGATTTAGTATGAGCTAATCTGTTTTTCTCCAGGTTTGCGATCTTTATCTTATCTCATGACTGATGATCCAGAATACTTGAGGGCCTGTTTCGAGTTTTAAGATGAGATTGGGTGCGTTCAGGGTGGTATGGCCCTAGACAGTTCTGAGTTTTAGATAAAGTTTTATTGTCATTCAGAAACCCTCTTTGGTGACCATGGTTAAATGAAAATGGCAGCAAGGGAGTAGAAAGAGGGGCTCGTGAAGTTCCATCTTGAGGGGAGTTGTTTCTGACTGTATTGATGGCTTCTGGGACTCAGTTATCAGTTACCAATAGGGTTTCCCATGATTTAACTCAAGAGCTGGCTGTAATTTCCCATTAGGCCTCAACTGGTGCATGCCTAAAGAATGTTTTCTTGTCTAAAGGATGTCGAACCTTTTCATACTCTGGATGATGTATACATACTCTTAGATTTTTCAGGACAAGTCCTGGTTCTAGTCACTTCTGTTCAAGCCATCACAGAAAGTTGAAATTTTCTTGAAATGCCAACCTTTTGGCCTTAGTACCCAAAAGGAATTTACAAATCATTTGCTAGACCAAGTTTTGATTTGAAATCAGAAATTATGGACACCATGAATAGAACCCTTGTCTCTGAGCTAGTCCTTGACTAGAAGGTAGCATTTTTTAAGAGTGGTTTTTAGAAACCTAAGAACATATATGAATTTGGTAAGGTTGATTTCATGTAATTCGATCATAGGCCAACAGAGAGTTATTATTGAGCACTTGTGTGGTGTCCTCTGTGACTGTCATTTCTGTACTTAGAATGGTCTTCCTCGGGGGTTTTCTCTGCTGGTCCACTTAAACCCTGCTTTTTCTTCTTTTGTAAAATGCAGATTCCAAGTGGCTGGAACCCATTTCCTTTGCCCTGTTGACTTATTTAAGCAGGAAAGGTGAGCTTTCTCAGCCCTGCTTCAGCTCCCAGGCTAGACTAGGATGAACTCTGCCTTCCCCTTCCACTTCCTGTACTGGAGACCTATAAGCTCAACCTCTTATACCAGAGGCTGGGTCCCGAGTATGACAGTATGAGGAGGGTTAGTGTTGTGTGTGTTTTTCCCTAAGGATGGCCATAGCACCATCAGAATAGAAAAGGTCTAGAGGCTGTTCATCGCCGACCTGGTCCAGAGACTGGTAGAGGGGAGACTGGTAGAGACATTTAGCCCTTTGTTTCCTGGGTCTCGGACTGTGCACAGTGTTAGTCTGCCACGTAGTGTGGAAGTGAGTAAAGCGGTAACCAGAGAGCCATAATAAGTTGTTCCTCACCTGCTTTGGGTAATCCATATATGGTGAGAGGAATTATCACAATCACTTGCCTTTTGCAGAGCAAGCAGCAGTTTGCCAAACACTTTCCCGTGTGTTAGCTTTTGAACCTTCCAGTCGACATTTGAAATAGGGCAGCCAGCGTGGGCTCCATTTTCTTTGTGAGAAAGCTGGAGTCCACCGATGTGACTTTTTCCTGGTTACTCTGAGCTGGTGAGGGTTTATGACTACAATTTAAGGCATTTTCCTACCGTACTTTGAAACATGTTCATCAAAACGTAGTAGGGCTTTTTGTACGTTTGTAGTTTTCTTAAGGAATACCCATGGGCTTCTGCTCTTAGGCATGGCAGTCACATTTGGTTGTGGGGTAGGTCAGTGCAGAGGGGAGATTGTACTCCCCGAGAGGTGGGGGGGGAGGGAGAGAGAGAGTTCTACCTTCCCTCCTTTGTTGTTCTGGTTCCTCCTTGTCCTCTCTGGATATAGTTGGGAGTCATGCGTTTAAGGGGAAAAGAGATTTCAGCAGCCTTGTTTGCGCTTGAGTCAGTGTTGGTGAAGCAGTAATACTTGTTTACTGCCTGGCAGTGAAAATAGGACTTGGGATAAGTTTTATGTTGTTCCCACAGTCTTCAGGTGGGAGTGGTAATATCTTTATTTTACAAATAAAAAAGCTGAAGTCACCTTACTTGTAACTACCATTTGGACCAAGATGGTTTGACTCCAGATCTGTTTCTCATAGGTCTCAGTTGGTGGACTCGGATGTTAAAGACTCAGGAGAAATGGAAAAATCGTACAATCAATAGTGTTTTCAGTAACCTTTAAGAAGAAGGAGACATTCATTCATTAGTAACAGACCCTGATGCTTGGGTTGGGAACCATAAAGTCACCTATACAGTCCTGATATTCCTCTAGGCGATAACAGAGAGAGAGAAGCCCAGGTTTTCTAGGGGTTCCAGTTAACCACATTAAATATAATTACAGAGCCAGGTCCTGCTGGCCTTTACCTGAAATAAATTAGGCTCTTTGGGAGCTGTGTTAACTGTTTGGAGCTGTTTGGGTGTCACGAAATTACTTTTCCTGTGTTTAGTAGAACCTGTGAGATGTATAAATAGAGAAGCCTGGTGGTCTTTATAAAGATATTCCCCAAAACGTTTTCACAGTGACCCAATTTTTGACTGGAGTTCCTTTTTTAGTCCTGTGGTAGAATTGACTCCCAATCTGTGGTCATTGGTTTACTCAGCAAATATTTGAATATGTAGTAATGTATTCTATAGACCAGGTACTGTACATTTACATGCTTAAACGTTAATCTCTTTAATGTTAATCTCTGTAGTGTCTTTTGTGATTCTTTTCTTAAATTAGTTTAGCTGTGTGGGCTCTGACGCCAGCCTGCCTGGACTTGAATCCTGGCTCCTTTATTCACTAGCAATGTGCTCTTGTGCCCCAGTTTGCTCATCTGTAAACAAAAGATGATGATGGTTCCCCCTTGTGAGACAGGGTTGTTGTGAGGGTCATAGGGTTAATCTGTGGAAAGCACTTGGAAACGGTGCCTGGCACACAGGAAGTGCTAATGTCTACATGGTCCGGTTGCCACCTTGCCTCTTCCCATCAGCCTTGGGAAAATCAGATTTCTCTCTCTCCCTCAGGAATCTATGACTCCCTGCTGGGCCTCTCAGTCTGTATGACCTGAAGAGTCGATTAGTGACCAGAGAGGGAGCGTTACCTAGCCTTGTTACTCCCTGTCTGTCTATACCTTCTTCCTGGGTTTCCATTTTGTATAGGCATTTCCCAGTTGTGAGTCTCCAGTCCTCACTTCCTGCCAGAACTTTGGATTACTTAAAATATCTCTTCATGAGGGTTTTAGCATCCCAAAACTTTTCTAATGTAGAACTCCTTTTTTTCTGAAACTTTTTTTTTAGAAAGTTTTTCCCATCTTAGTAAATTGAACTGGGAGATAATTGCCCAAGTCAAAAACCAAAGAGTATTTTTAAATCTTATTTTACTGTTCCCATTTCTGTTTTTTTAACTCCTCTCCTTTATATTGGTTCCATCAGTGCTACTTTCAGAGAGCATCTCACTTTTCTGCTACTCTCTCTCCCTCTCCCATCACCTTGGTCATTTCTCACCTGGGCTGCTGTGTGCAAAACTTCTTGCCTGGTGTCTGTAATCCATTCTCTGCCCAATAGCCAGCTTTTGAAAATGTAAATCGGATTGTGTTATGCTTCTGCTCAAAATCCTTCTTGACTCCCAGTCACCTGCCTTGCCTATTTCGCCTTGGTCTGCTCGCTTCTGTTCTACAGTGTTTCTGCACTGGAAGGAAAGGTGCTTGAGGGTGGGGCTGTTCACTCTTCCACTGCTTAATTCCTAGTGGCTGGCATATAATAGCTGTGCAATAAAGACTTCCTAAGTGAACAGGCACATGTTCTTACTCTTCTCTGGAATATATTTCTCACTTCTCCACTGCCTCTTATTTTTTTAATTTTTTATTTTTTGAAGGATGAGCTTTGGAAGATCCAGGAGAAGCTGGAATGTTACTTTGGCTCCTTGGTTGGCTCGAATGTGTACATGACCCCCGCTGGATCTCAGGGCCTGCCACCCCATTATGATGATGTGGAGGTAAGAGAGTAAGAAGCTTGCCTGAGTTGCTGAGAGCCTGGTTTAGTGTAGTTGTGGGATTCTCTGAGGTCTTAGACCAGGTCTGTGTTCGTTCTTTCTGTGCTGCGTCTGAAGATCTTGATTTCATCTAAATGCAAGACCAAAATAAATCCCACTAAACTGGTTTCCTGCTCCTCAAAGGAAAAGATTGTTTCCAACCTTACTAATTTAAAGAGCCACGCATTTCTTTGAAACTGGTATTTATTGAATTTGTCTGCAGAAAAGCATGGTTGGCTTCTTTAATTTTACAAGGTATGGTCTTCAATAAGGTAAAGTCACAAATAGTCCTTCCATCTGCTTTCATTTTGTTCTTTTTTCAGTAGCTGCCAAAAATACATATAGTTTTTCCATTTGTGAAAAACTTGGGGGCAGCTTGAATCGGGGTCATGGTTTTGCTTAAGCATTGGCACCTTGTCAAGTGTTGATTTCACTCTCATGTGGCTTCCAAAAAAAGTTAACTCTTTGGCTCAGGTATTTCATAGTTTTATTTTTGTGCTAATGCAAGGTGTGAACACAGAGTTATTAGTTAAAAAGTCCCATTTTCCCATTTGAGAGCAATTTGATACCGATATGTTTTTAATGTTTTTTAATAGAGCAATATCTGTCGCTGAATAAAGAGTAGAAAACTGACATTTTCCTATCTGTCCAGTTTCTTCCAGTATTCAGGATTTTAGACATCCAGTAATATCTGAAGCTTGGCTTTTCCATCAGAGATTATGGGCTTTCAGCTGTCTGATAGAAGACTTAAAGGAATAAGATGGTAGGATATAAAGAACTCAGTGAGGCTCTAAGAAAGTGAAAAGAATGGATATCCAGTGTCAGGAGTCGTGATAACCTGTTTTTTAAAAATAAAAGCCAGTAGTGGCAACCTTCATTTAAGTGTAGAATGGCATGCATTTGTCATCTTTCATTTTTTTTTTTTATCTGAAACTTCTGCAGTTGCGCTTTGAACAGTGCATGGCTTAGGGACACCACCATGTGCAGTCAAAAACCCTTATGTAACTTTTAGGTTGACTGCAGTGACTCCCGCCTATGATCTCATGACTTTGGGAGACGGAGGCAGGAAGATTGCTTGAGCCTAGGAACTGGAGACCAGCCTGGGCAATATGTCAAGACCCTGTTTTCTACAAAAAAGAAAAAAGAAAAAAATTAGCCAAATGTAGTGGTGTGTGCCTGTAGTCCCTGTGATAGGCTGATGTAGGAGGATTGCTTGAGCCCAGGAGCTGGAGGCTGCGGTAAGCCGTGATTGTTCCAGCCTGGGCAACAAAGTGAGACCCTGACTTAAAAAAAAAATTCCATCCCCAAACTTAATTGCCTCCTGTTACCTACTAATTGTCTTCTGTTGACCAGACACCTTACTGATGACATAAATCAGTTAACACTTAATTTGTATGTTATATGTACATATATATATATATATATATATATATATATATGCTATACTGTATTCTTCTAATAAGATGAACAAAAATAAGAAAATGTTGTTGGGGAAATCATAAGGAAGAGAAAATTTACTTAATATGCTGTATTTATTAATACTGTAAGTTTGCATCATCTGTTTTGAAGATAAATCATCTGTCTGAAATGACAGTCAGCCGTAACTGCAGACCTCAGTCTATAGAACATATCAAGCAATTCACCTTTTTCTTGTAAGGCTATGCCTTTTCTCTGCTTCTTGGGAGCACTTGCAGCGTCGGTCTTGGCACTTTGTATAGGTTTCATGGTGTTATTCAAGGTTTAAGGTGCTGCGCTACACGTGATGAAAGATATGTGAGACCCGTGAGAAATCACTTTCTACTGTGATGCGAAATTTCACGTGGCGATAATTAGCTTCACATGGTGTTTTAAGCAGATACTTGCAACGCTGGAGCTCACAGAAATAGCAACAGGAGGTAGCTGTGAAATTATTACAGTAGTACAGTATGTATTACCGTTAATTTTATGCAGTTATTTAATACTGCATCTTTAAGCTGCTTACATTTCTCAGCTGCAAATGGTGCCACTTGGGGTGTTTGTGTGATAAATTTTAACCTTTTATGATAGGTTTTGTGTATATTTTATGGTAGTAGGTGATAAAATAAAATATCATAAGTGCATAAAATATATATTTTATGCACTTATGATATGCCTAACTTTTTCTTAATTTTTTTGCTATTTTCTCATTTTCTCAAATTGTTGCAAATCTCAAAATACTTTTTCAAAAATTTATTGGAAAGAATCTACCATAAAGGACCTACACGGTTCAAACCTGTGTTGTTCATGGGTCAACTATAATTCATCTGAGCACTTGGAGGGCTGATATCCAGATATACTTTGCTGCATGACTGTCAGGAAGCTCTGATGCCCCCGGGCCCTGTGTGTCTCTGTAGGTCTTCATCCTGCAGCTGGAGGGGGAGAAGCACTGGCGCCTCTACCACCCCACTGTTCCCCTGGCACGAGAGTACAGCGTGGAAGCCGAGGACAGGATCGGAAGGCCGACACATGAGTTTACACTCAAGGTACGGGATGACCACTGTGGGCACCTCATGGTGGGAACAATGCGGTTTTCTCTGTTGCTAAGGCAAGTTCAGGTTCAGAGTTTGTGTGATAGTCCCCGTGGGAACGTATCCCCGGCTCCCTGGGAAGGGTGACTCTCATTGCCCCCATCCAGCCATGTAGCTTCAGCAGGAGTCTTCGTGGTGGGTACTTGGAGAGGTGGGCTGAGGAAGTATTAAGTTTATTTTCCAAGCTTTTGTCTTCATGTGTGATCAAAATTCAAGAGCAATAAAGTGAATTCAGTGGCCACTAACTCCCAAGAGTAAATGTAGGAGGTCTGGCCATGGGTAGCTTCTCCGCAACTGAGACAACAGGCAGCAACAGGGTTTTATGTTGCTTAGGAAGAGCACAGCCAAGGGTCCCTCAGTGTTTTTGTTGGTAAAATCCCAGTTTGATCCATTTTGCTCCTGATTACTCAGCAGACTGTCTCTGCAAACCCTGCCCCCTTTGCCTTTATATTGTTACCAGAAAACAGTACTTAGGAGAGCTCTTGAGGATTCTTCCTCCAGGGAGCCAGGTGGCTTGGTTGCATGCTGGTCTCTTGGCATCTAGCTGCTGAGAAGGTGTGTCCCTGAGCACTCAGCCTGGGTGAGAATATAACCAGTCCCCAGCAGGAGAGGTGTGGAGGAAGAAAATTTAGAAGCATAGGAGTAGCTGTATAAACTTTGTGTTTTCTTAAAATACATAACTTTAATTTCCTTTAGTGGCAGGAAACTAATTGTTAATTCCAACTGTTCTAAAGAGTCTACTGACCTGATATATTTGCATGTAGTAATTGTTTTTCTTGTGCTTTGAAGTTATAATTAGTGTCTAATTCTTTTTTTTTTTTTTGAGTTGGAGTCTCACTCGATCGCCCAGACTGGAGTGCAGTGACCGCTCCCGGCCACCGCAGCCTCGACCTGCTGGGCTCCGGCGATCCTTCTGCCTCAGCCTTCCAAGTAGCCGGAATTACAGGCATGCTCTACCACGCCTGGCTGATTTTTTTTTATTTATTGTAGAGATGAGGTCTCACTGCCCAGGGGGATGTTGAACCCGCGGGCTCAGGCAATCCACTCACCTTAGCCTCCCAAAGGCGCGGGATTACAGGCTGAGCCACTGAGCCCGGCTAGTGTCTAATTCTTACTCGACGCCTGTGTCTTTCTTGTTGTTAAAATCTTTGCCCGCCTGCCAATAACTGGGGGAAGCAGTCTCCCTTTTTAGGATGGGTGCGTAGGATAGGGGACTTCAACAACAATATAGATAACCTTGTTTTTTATGCTTTTTGTCAGGGGTTACCAAACTATGGCCCATAGGCCCAAAACTCTGGCCAGCTGCCTGTTTTTGCAAATGAAGTTTATTGGAACACAGCCATACTCGCTCCTTAGCATACTGTCTGTGGCTGCATCCACACTACACTGGCAGAGCAGGCGATTTGCCACAGAGACCGCATGACCCCCAAGGCAAAATATTTTCTGTCTTTGCATATGGTCCTTCACAGAGTTTGCTGACTTCTGTTTTTGGCGAACCAAGTGCATGTAGACTCTTGGTTGGTTATTTTTAAGCTGAAGACTGAGCCCTCTGTGGTCTCTGAGGCAACAGCTGAGTCACTGGCTGATGACTTGGCTACATGCCCTGCCTGAGAAGGTCAGGCTTCATAATGGCTTCAGGTGAAGAGGGTGTGGACTCCTTACGTTGTTGCCATGGGAAGTGGAGGAGATGGAGCAGATGCCCAGTCATGAACACACAGTTCCTTAGGAGAAGCCTTGAGTCTTCTTCAAGGAGAAAGGCCTTGTTGTGTGCTGATTTTTTTTTTCAAGTGTGTATGTGTCTGTCCAGGTGAGGGTTTAACCAATCAGTCTCTTCAGGTGAAATCTTTTGTCAGCGCCCAGTATATGAAATAGAAAAGTTGAGTCGCTCTCTTTGGAGACTGGGTTTGGGGGCTATCTGTGATGAGGGTCTTGGAGCCCTTATCTCCTCTGTGCAGTTCATCTGCCAAACCCGAGTCCCAAGGTGGGACTGCTTGTGTGATGGGAACAGCACTCTTTGGCTTGAGGATTTCACAGATCTGGATTTGAATTCAGCTACTGCCACTTAATAGCTACATGTCTTTGGGCATGTGTTTTAATCCAATCTGAGTTCCCTCTGTATTAAAATGGAGATCATAATATTTACCTTGCAACCTGCAAGGATTGTCAAATACTATTTTGATGCTCCCTTTAGAGCAAAATCTCTTGGAAGAGACGCTATCTATAGGTCTGTTTCTTTCTTCTTTTTTTTTTTTGAGTTGGAGTCTCACTCTGTCGCCCAGGCTGGAGTGCAGTGGCACGCTCACAGCCTTCCCAGCGTCGACCTGCTGGGCTCTGGCAGTCCTTCTGCCTCAGCCTTCCTAGTCGTTGGAACTACCAGCATGTGCTACCGAGCCCCATTGATTTATTTTGTTTTATTTTATTGTAGAAAGGAGGTCTCGCCAAGTTTCCCGGGCTAGTCTCAAACCCTCTGGCTCAGGCAGGTTCCATATTATTAGTAGTTTTCCTATTCCTGCCTACAAATCACCACAAGCTCCGTGGTTTAAAACAACCTAAATGTATTACCTTAAAGTTCTGAAGGTCATAAGTCCCAAAGGGGGTCTCCCTGGGGCTGGCAGGAATATGTTCCTTCTGGAGCCTCTGGTAGAGCGTCTTCCCTTGCCTTTTCTCAGCAAGGGATGTCGGGGGTGTTGAGCAAACGATTTTGGGATGAATGAAATATACAGCCATGTGCCGGGTAATGACATTTTAGTCACCGAAAGACCGCATATATGACAGTGGCCCCATAAGATTTTAACGGAGCGGAGGAATTCTTGTCACCTAGCGATGTTGCAGTTGTTGTGAAATGTCTTAGCGCAGCGCATTAGTCCTGTGTTTGTGACGATGCTGGGGCCAGTAACCCTGTGCTGCCCGTCGTATCAAAGTGGGTGGTAATGTCCTAGGCCTTCACCTTCACTCACCGCTCACTCCCTGACTCACCCAGAGCAACTTCCAGTCCTGTAGCTTCCATCCATCTATCCATCCGCGTACCATTTCTTATCTTTCATACCATATGTTCGCTGTACCTTTTCCACGAGATGCGTTTACATGCACACTGTCGTGTTACTATTGACTACCGTGTTCAGTACAGGAACATGCTTTCCAGGTGTGTAGCCTAGGAGTAGTAGGCTGTACCCTATAGCCCAGGTGTACAGGCTGTGCTGTCTAGGTTTGTGTAAGTACACGCTAGGATATTCACACAGTGATGAAATCATCAGGCGACATCTTCCTCAGCACGTGTCTTTGTCATCAGGCAATGCATGACGGTGAGGGTCACAATTGGGCCGTGACAGGGATACTCCGTAAATGATAGTTGCGATTGTCAGTAAAGCGTTTATCCCTGAGGGACTGTCAGTTGTCAGGGCAAGTGGCAACCAAGATAGCTCTTGTGAACATATATTTCATAATATACAAGGGAGGAGAACCCCCCAAAAAACTGGAATTACTTTTTGGAGGGTAGGTCCCTTGTAGCGGTACAGGCTTCCCCTGCTGGAACCCATTGGCATCAGTGTACCAGCTATTGTTGTTGTGAGAGGCTGAATTCTGTTTCAGTGGACTTTTTTCTGGAGATTTTTTCAACACGCTTGCCCATTTTATGATGCGTGATTTATGAATGCACCTGTCCACACGGTGCTGAGTGTTCAGCAGTTTTTGATCAAAAGTGTCATGATCCTGTGCCCCACCCTCCCTGTTCACCCCATCTCACCCCAAACGACTTTTTTGGGGGGTTTCCCTGAATGAAAAAAGTCCTCAATGAGAAATGTTTTGCCAATGTGGAAGTGGTGAAACGAAACATGGCAGAAGCACTAAAAGTCATCCAAATTGACGGGTTCAAAAACTGTTTTGAGCAGTGGAAAAAGTGTCCTGATAGATGTATTGCATCAAATGGAGGGTACTTTGAAGATGACTGAAGTTTAAACATGTAAGAATAAATACACAATTTTTTATAGATAAACTCTGGCTTTTTTGGAGTCACCTCTCGTATTGTCTCTTGCTTTGAGGAGAATCTTTAAAAGTTTTCTCCCGCTAGTATTTGTTGAGCTCTTTCTCCAGGGCTGATGGCTGTAACCATTGCACCAGCTGCTTCCTGTGATCTCAGAGGGATGAGTGGCTCTCAGTACTCCTCCTCTCCTCAGGCAACTAGTGTACAACACATTTCTGTCTGGGTGGGATCAGGGAGGAGGTTTCTTAGGGCAGGGGTCATTTGAGAATGTTTCTGTCCACCGGCTTGGGAGAGAAAAGGCATAGGTAAGAAGAGGCTCAGCTGCTTGAGAAAATGAGCTTCAGTTGTGTCTGTTTTTCAGCTTCCAATAAGGATTGTACAGTTTTTCATCCATCCATCCAAACATTTATTGAGCCTATGTTGTGTGCCAGGTGCCTTGCTAGGGTAAAACATAGCCCCTGCCTGAAGGAAGAACAAACGATCAGGGAGTGGTGACTGGCAGGTAAAATAATATAATACAACCACAGGCTCATCATTGCCCCTAGAGCTTTAGAAACAGCATCTTCTTTAATACTCAAAATAGTCCTGTGAGGCTTGGGGCTATGACTTCCATTTTACAGATAAAGACACTGAGGTTTGGGGCACTTTTAAGTAAATTGCCAGGTCACCAGCCAGTTAAGTAATAATATCTGTCTAACTCCAAGTTAAAGCCCTTACTCTTAACCGCTACAGAATGCAAGCAGGAGGAAGCAGTCTTCCTATGCACAGGATGTCACCTCCCTTGATTCCTGAATCAAGGTGGGGTATTGGGTATTATCAAGTTGATACCTTGTATCTGGTCTCAACTTGAGAATAAAGACGGTGACTTCAGGCAGTGAGAATCTCTGGTGGATTGTGGCTCATGGACTAGCTGGAAGCCACATGAGCCCGGCATGCAGGCTGTCTCTTGAAGTTGTGGTTTCTGGAATGGAAACTGAGACTCAAAGCTGATAGTTATCTCCTTAAAGAGGACGGAGACTGAGGAACTTCTCTCCCCTTTTCTGTTTCTTCCTTTAGCCGGGTGATTTGCTGTACTTTCCACGAGGGACCATTCATCAGGCGGACACTTCTCCAGGGCTGGCCCACTCTACCCATGTTACCGTCAGCACCTACCAGAACAAGTAAACACTCTGCCTCACAGCCTCGCATCCTAGGATGGCTCCGAGTTGCCCACTGTAGCCACGTTCAGGAGATACATGGGGGAGCTGGCCGCCAGCTCTTTTCTGGACCCCAGGCTGTCTCTATTGTCAACTTCCATATTCCCTTGCTGCCCCGTATGTGTAACTGACTCCTCTGGACTTCCTCCTGGGAATGTCATGAATCTGACTCTCTATAGGAAACTGGGAGTTGCCCAAGTAGAGGGTCCCATAGTTTGGAATGAAAAAAAACTGTAGCTGTGGGTATGTCAGTGTTAGTGATGCCAGGCTGGGCTTGCAGTCTCTCTATTATGGTAAAATATATATAACATAAAAATGCCATTTTATTATTATTTTAAATAATATTTTATTGTTTAAAAGATGGGGACTTACTATGTTGTCCAGGCTGATCTCGAACTCCTGGGCTTAAACATTCCTTCCACCTCGACCTCCCAAAGTGCTGGGACTACAGGCATGAACCAACATGCCTAGCCAAATATGCCATTTTAAACTGCACGGTTTGTTGGCATTAATTACAGACATACTGTTGTGCAACATCACGACTGTCTGTTTCCAAAACATTTTCTATACCCCCGACAAGAACTCTGAAACCATTGAAGCCTCTTGGTCTCTTCTCTCTCAACTTCTCCCTCTCTCCCTGATTCTCTTTCTGCTGCCAGCTGGTTTTCTAGTAGTTGGTTTTGCTCTCTCCTGTTCCCGCCCCAGCTTCTGTTTACTCATTGTGCTGGCTCTTCCATAAGCCTCCATCAGTTACTTCTTAGAAACCTCTTGGTTTCCACTTCTCACAGTCATTGAAGTTAAAGTAGAGAGGCCGTCTGCAGCAGAGGGAACTGACAATGCATGTGTTGACAACCGTTCCAATTAAAATCACGTTTCGTTTCAGCGAGTGCCTCCTCACAGGGACCAGAACTGGGCGGCCGTGCTGTTGAGTTATTTTCCAAAAGCAGCAACCTTGCTGGCCCAAATCAGACTTAAAACCACACCAATCATTAGTGAGTATATTCAGCAAGCAAGCACTAGACACTGTGCTTGCTGCTGGGAGTGCAGGGATTGCATTGGAGGGCTTTGAGAGAGCTTATGCCTTGGAGGTGGTGGTGGTGGTGGTAGGAGGGGAGAGATAGTGTGATAAATTCTGTCGTAAGTTTACAGAGGAGACTCCTGGAGTATAGAGGGATGCAATTAGCTAAGCGGGGGCATCAGAAAAGGCTTCAGAAATAACACCAAAGGCGAGTGAGTCTTTTTTTTTTTTTTTGAGTTGGGGTCTCACTTTGTCGCCCAGGCTGGAGGGCAGTGGCACACTCCCAGTCACCGCAGCCTCCACTTGCTGGGCTCGGGTGATCCTTCCTCCCCAGACTTTCAAATAGCTGGAACTACAGGCACGTGCCACCATGCCCGGCTAATTTTTTGATTTATTGTAGAGATGAGGTCTTGCCAAGTTGCCCAGGCTGATCTCGAACCTGTGGGCCCAGGCAATCCTCTCACCTCGACCTCCCAAAATACTGGGATTGTAGGCTTGAGCCACCGTGCCCGGCCTTGAGTGAGTCTTAAAGAATGAGTAAGTAGGAGTGGGTCAGAAGATCAGAGTAGAGGACATTCCAGGCCCAAGGGACAGCAAGTCCCCTCCTACTTGCAAAGCCATAACTTGCAAAGCTAGGTAGTAAGCATGCCTCTGCTTCTTCATCTGACTTTTCGGTGTGAAATTCACCTCTGTGTTTAAAAGACTTACCAGAGGAACTAGATGGAGCCTGGCCTGAGGTTAGTGCTATCTTTGTTCCTGAGTAGGAGGCCCAAGCTGGTAGCAGGCTTCCATTTGGAAAAATGCCCTTGCCCCTGTGGCTAGTTAGGTTCCTTGCATAGCAAGGGACAGAAAGTCACCAAGGCCAGCTTAAGAAGAGGAGGGTCACTTGAGGGAGTGGGTCATAGGAACGGTGGCCAGGCCACAGAGAAACTGGAGTCAGAAGTTCATTCTAGATCCAGAGCAGCTCTGGGCCTTGGCAGCCACATAGTTTGGCCCTGGGAGCGTCCATGCATTGCGGGTATCGCATCAGTCACCGGACCCACCTACTGCCTCTTTCCCTCATTCTCTTGCTCCCCCCACTAGCTAATTTTCTGGTAGTTGGCTTTTGTGCCCCCTTTTCCCTCCCCAGCTTCTGTTCACTCATAGCACTGGCTTATCCATCTGCCATCATCAGTGACTTATCAACCTTTCTCTACCTCATTAACCCTACTTGCTTTTGCTTCTGCCAAGTACCTGAGTCACTCTCTCTTTCCCAATCCCAAGAGTGATGATCCGGCAGGCTTCCCCTGGGTCCCACCCATAACTTTTCGAGTCGACTGAGGCTAGGGAGAGCATTGGAAGTCACAGAAGTTGTCTGCCTGTGGATGGGCACCGTGACTGCTGTGTCTAGGCTGCACTCTCCTGTGTCTTGGTCAGTGATGCTGGAGCTAGAATGGGGAGATGTAACTTGAGGATCAGTGCTCCCCAGATACATTGCTGTGTTTTGAGCCTGGTGTTCTTTCACGTACTGTGGAGGAGTACAGGTTTGGATCCTCTTCCTGATGCCACTCAAGGTAGCATTGTTAGAACATTTGAGGTCCGCTGGGTGGGACAGCAGCAGGTTGACTGGCTGTTTTACTGAAGTGAATACCTCAAGAGGTGTTATTTCTAAATTTTGGAAAGTCCCAAGATCTATTCTGGTTCTTAGAAGAGCTGGAGCACTGTCTAACTGCTATTAAATACCTTCATGAATCGGTTGAGGTCAGAAGTTTGAGACCAGTCTAGTCAACATGGCAAGACGCCCTCTCTAAAAATTAGCTGAGTGTGGTAGCACACACCTGTAGTCCCAGCTACTCAGGAGGCCGAGGTGGGAGGATCTCTTGAGCCCAGGGGTTCGAAGTTACAGTGAGCTATGATCATGCCACTGCACTCCAGCCTGGAAAACAGAGCGAGACCCTGTCTCTAAATAAGTAAGTAAATGAGTAAATTCCTCCATGAGCTGTTGCTGCATGACTTCCACCTATAACCCTGCAGAAGAAGCATGTGTTTTATGCTGCCGAGTGATCTGCATGTATCTCCCACGTTGAGGTTCAGTAAAACACACTGGGTCAGATATACAACATTGAGTCTCAAAGCAGTGAAGCTGCCAGGAGGTGGATGTCTTGGGGAAAGTGTCTCTGCTAATGTGACTTTTGTCCTTCTCTGCCACTTGTATGGGAAGGAAGCATGAAAGTGCCAATTTTGCTTACTGAGTGAGGAGCAAAAGCCATACTGTGAATTTCCATTTTGCAATATGAAATTTGCTGGTGTCATGGGCAAATTTTAAACAGTTAAGAAATGTTTAAAGAGAGCAGCCCCACAGAGTGTGCTTCTTACACTGGCACACACTGAGACATACACCAATTCTGAATACCCCTAAGAAAGCAAAGGAAGTTGAACAGGGACACTTGTCCCTAGATGTTATTTTTAGCTACTAGCTGCTGCCTTCTACCCTCTGGTAAAACTATTTCTAGAAATCAATTATTTTGGAAGTATTGATGTTGGTGTATATTTTATTCAGGAACAGTGTCCGTTTTTTAAGTGACAAGGAAAATGTAATATTTACTGTTCAGATAATTACACAATCCAGAGATTTTGCTGTTATCTAAATGTATTTCTGTTGGATTCACTGTATATACCTTTTTTTTTCTAAATCCTGTAGTGAGTGTTAAAAGTTTCTACAAAGCTCTCTTCATAGATACTTTGTTTAAAATTGGGTCCCCTGAGCTTCCTATTCTATGACAGTCTATGATTAATTTTCTGATATCTTTATGAGAAACCATGAATGAATCCTAGCTTCTCCTCTTAACTTTCCAAGTAAATGTCTGGGATGAGGTGGGAGGAAGCAGGGTGGTCAGTGGTCTTAGGTTTCTGTGTTTAATAGTGACTAATTAATTGATGAGCAGGAAGTTGGAACCTAATTGGAACCCAGTTGGAGCCCAATCTGTAGCTTTTGGCTTTACTCCCAATACATATTTTATGTATATTTTGTGTGCATTTGTATGTATATATTTTTTGTTTTTATATTTGCTTTCCCCTTGGTACATGTTCTAGTTCATGGGGAGATTTCCTTTTGGATACCATTTCGGGGCTTGTGTTTGATACTGCAAAGGAAGACGTGGCACTACGGGCTGGCATACCTCGGCAGCTGCTCCTGGTAAGGAGTAAAGGCAGGTAGGAATACAAGGTAGTAGCCATGGCCCAGGCCAGCAGAAGCCCTGCCTTCCAGGGACCCCAGGATCCCTCTTCCCTCATGAGCCAGGGAAGTGGCTGAGCTGATGATGTGCAGAATAAGTGGAGTGCTGTGTGCTACACAGCGATCCAGAGAACATGCTGTATACACGGCTGTCCTCCACGGTGGTATAGCAGGCATGTGAGAATGCTGGTGGAATAAATGAATTCTGTAGCCAGGAGAATTATAGATTTAGTGCACATGGGATTCCTAGTTAGGAGAGACCTATTGCACTGGGGAGTCTGGCTTTCCTGTTCTGCTTTTACATTTTGAAATAGGAGCCCAAGTTGGTTAGTTTGAGAAGATAAGTGAATTGTGCTGAGTCGAGTGAAGGTTGTTCTCACTGCCCGAAGCAGTCCTCTTAGGACAGTGACTTGCGTTCCAAAAGACACAGCCCAGACTGTACTCTGTTTCCACAGATTATTTTCAGGCATTTTTTTTTTTTTTGTAACCAATAAGCAGCTTAAGGTGAAGCGTTCACAAGGAAATAATGGGATCTTGTTGTTAAGGGCTCAGGTTGCCCCTCTCGCTTTGCAGGGACACGCGTTTATGTCTCTACAGGATGGTGGGCAGTTATGCATGGTACTGTGGAGACTGGCCTGGGTAGTAAGTTCTGCTGGCATCTGGACCAGGGCTCACTTTGTGTTTCTAGCAGGCAGAAACCATGACTGTTGCAACAAGAAAGTTAAGTGGCTTCCTGAGGACACTTGCTGACCGACTGGAGGACACCAAAGAACTGCTTTCATCAGACATGAAAAAGGATTTTGTGACACACAGACTCCCCCCTTACCACGTGGGGGATGGAACGGAGCTGTCCTCACCAGGTGGAGCTTGCCATTGTCTTCTGGGTGGCTCAGGGCTGACGCGGGATGTTTGAGGCTCTCCTGGGTAGGCTCCTCTCTGAGCAGACGGAAAGTAGGAAGCCCTTCAGTGTTAATGTGGACCTAGATCTATCCTCAGTGTGTGTGGCTGGACGAGACGTGCAGCACTGCACTGTTACCATCCCGCAACTCAGAAGTCATTGGCAAAGAACGTGTCTCAGTATGATGGAGAATAAGAGCCCTCTGGCATTCACAGACTTCAGGAAGTTTTTGGAATTTGAACATTGGACTAATCTTGTTGGGATTAAGTTGGGGATGGGTTGGCATAGTCTGTTTAGTGTGTCTATAAAGGAATACCAAAACTGTATAATTTATAAAGAAAAGAGATTTATTTGGCTTACAGTTTTGCAGGCTGTACAAGAAGCATAGAGGCTGCATCTTGTGAGGGCCTCAGGCTGCTTGCACTCATGGTAGAAGGAGGAGAGCCAATGTGTGCAGGGATCCTATGGCGAGAGAGGAAGCAAGAGGTGGAGGGAGGTGGCAGGCTCTTGACATCAGTTCTCATGGGAACTAGTATAGTGAAAACTCATCCCCTCACCTCTGAGGGAGGTCATTAATTTATTTATGATGGATCCACCTCCATGACCCAAACGCATCACATTGGGCTCCCCTCTGCCATTGGGGATCATATTTGGACCTGAGATTTTGGAGGGTACAACACTGTAGCATGGGTAAAATGGTTGCCATCATCAGGTGAAATACCAGAATACCCAAGCTTGTCATTGACCTTCTGCCTATCATAGGTGACTAATATGTGACAGGCTTAGGCAGTAAATGACATAACACACTTCTGGATGATCTCCTGTAGCCGAGGCCACCAAGAACATGCTCCTGAACAAACTCCTGAACTAAATTGGATTCAGTGACTTGTTGGCAGGTGGAGAGTGCACACCATTGGGAACTATATGGCTCTGAGGAAAAGAGTGTTAGGATTAAGAGGCTTTAGGCTTGGGTATGTGATTCTGGAGAGGGCTCGAGGAAGCAGGGCTTTGCTCTGGGTTGGATGCTGTCAGGAAGTAGAAGGGATTCTATGATTAGGTCTCTTAAGTTATCAATGTAAAGCAGCAGCATAGCCAGGGCAGGGCGATATTTGGTCATTGTTGTGGTTGGACAGTGTTCCTGTTTTGCCTCAGTTCAGACGTGAATTCAGAGCCGTGGTGTTTTTGTCTTTATCACAGTCTCATGGTGACATTGTCCGACATTGATGATCTTGTCTGACATCTGTGATCTTGTCCAAAGTAGGTGTTCTGAGAAGTTGTCTGTGTCTAAGAGAACTCAGACGAAGCTGAAACTGCCACGTCAGCTTGGGCTGCTTTTCTTTTTCAGGAGGCTTGAGTGAGAGGGAGTGTTTTTTACTAACTTTTCTAAAAGCCTTATGTATCACCAGGTGTAAATCATGGACATAGACAATCCCTAACTTCCCTTCTCATATTGATCCTATGTACATTGTTACTCTAGTCTTTGGAGGACGTTTAGAGTTTGTTTTTGATTGGACCTATTCAAAATAGAAAATGTTTTTAAAAACGAGTATTGTAGTCTTTAGTGGAACAGTATTCACTGAGTACCATCTTCTAGCCCAGAATACTTTCAACATTCCTTGTCTTAATCACTCAGATAACCCTGAAAGGCTAGTCTGTTTCGGGTGGGTAGTTTTTCACTAAGTTAAATCCAGTTTGGAAAAGAAAAGATTTTCTGTGAACTTTATTAGATGGGTTTTTAGGAGACTATGTTTGTACTATATAAACGGAATAACTTGCCAGGATCACACAACTAGTAATTAGACTGGTGCAGCTTGAACTTAGGGAGTCCTTCCAGAGTTCACTTGTACAGCAAGAAGCTTGTAGAGGATAGAAACTGGAGTGTTCGGTGTAGAAGGCATCTTGGCCCTGCCTGTTGGGATAGCTACTGTGCTTTGATGGCATTGTTTATATCCACCTATTACTAACTTACGTTGTTATTTATCTAAGTGTATGCCTGGGACTGAGCTTCATAAGGTTGGGAACTGTATATTGAACATCCCTCTAGTGTTGGGGTGAGCGATATAGAGTTGGAAGAGGGCACCCCTTGTTTGGATCACTGTACATTCTCTGTGTTTCTCACAGAGTTGCACCCATAAGCAGGTTTGAATCGACTGGTTTCCTTTTTTGAAGGCTGCCTTTCTCTCTTTGGGGTTTTCTAGGTGGAGAGTTACCAAGGCTGGACAGCATAGTGAGACTGCAATTTAAAGACCACATCGTCCTCACAGTGGGGCCAGATCAGGATCGATCTGTGAGTATCCAGGAGGGAGATGTCTTCTTGGGGTATTTGCATCACAGGCTTCAGGTTAGCAGATTAACCACTGGTCGCTGGCCTTCTCCTTTGGGGATCTACCTGTGTTCAGTTTAATCCATCTCTTCAGGTCAGAGAATGCCCAAATCTCACTTTCTGGTTCCATATTTTCCTGCATGTTGTGCATCTGAGGGCTTGCCCTTACCTCCCACAGGACCGGCCTTCCCTCCTCTTGGTGGTGATGAATGCCTGGGCTTTGCTGCCCATCCTGCTTCAGGCCTCATTGCTGTTGCTTGGACAGCCGGATCCCATTCCTGAGTCTCCCTCTTCAGTCCCTCTTCAGTCCTCTACGTGGTTTTGTATGCTTATGTTTCTTCTCCTTAAACTCTGTCCTTTAATCATGGAGAACAAAATCTAGCTTCTGTAACCCTGCACCTAGCCTAGTGAGTCCCCAAACCGGCTGGTCATGGAATCACCTGGAAAGCTTTTTAAAATTATACATTCCTAGACTTCATCTGGCCTTGAGTCTCTGCATTTATGTTTTCATAAATCTCCCTGAACATTCCTAAAGACCTTGGGAACAATATCATCTGTATGGTTTCATCCTGTTCTTCCTAATCAGGCCCCTTGAAGTGCCTTATGAATGACCAAGGGGGTGAGGGGTGCACTTACATGTCTTCATAACCAGACTGTTCCAGCCTTCAGGATCAGACTAGAGAGGACTGATTTATAATATATACAAAACTTTAAAAGTATATACCTTAAAAGTACACACTCTAACATCCCTATTTTTTTAAAAGAATGTAGTGATTCTGATAGTCAGTGTGAGGCATTGTACGTCAGGCCAAGATTGTTTGCCTTTATCTAAGAAGTGACAAAGAATGACTAAAGGCTCTGGAAATTACAAATTGTACCGTGTAGAATGGTGAGCAGGGACCATTTGGGAGGCTACTGTAATTGAAATGGAGTTTTTTATAGGCCACACAGCTGATATTTCTCAAGAGTTAGTCCCTCCATGGTGTTCATAAATTGTCAATTTATACCTAGGGATGTCAGATTTTTTTGATGCAAAAAAGTATGGGTATGACTTTAAAAAAGAAACTGTTTCATTTATATGTAAATGATTGCTTTTTCATTAAATCCTGAAGATGGTCTTCTAGGTGACACTCCAGCTATTATATCTTTAACAAAATGACTCATAATGCCTATTAATTGCCATGTGCAAATAGTAAGCTGTAGTGACTAATGAAATATAGACATTATAACGCATATGTACACACTTTTTTTTTTTTTGCCAAAGGGATTCTTTACAGTATTTGGTAAATTTCACTTGAGCACCGAGGCTTCTCAGGTATTTCTTGATGTTGACCTACTGGAAAACCCTTCTGGTATTGAAGCCCTCATGTTGATACCTAACCTTTTTCCCCCTCAAAGGATGAAGCTAGAGAAAAGATGATATACGTATATCATTCCTTAAAGAACAGGAGAGAGACTCACATGATGGGAAATGAGGAGGAAACAGAGGTTTGTTCTAACTGAAAACAGATGTCTTTCCTGTGATTTGGGTGATGGTTTGGGAAAAATCGATTATTTTTTATTCATAGATAATGTGCTTTTGATGGCTGCGGTGTAGACTTACTATTTCCCATGCCAGAGCACGATTGACAGATTGCATGGGCGCGATTACGTCAGACAGTTCTGTAATGCACATATACTAGCTTTAAACATACTAGCTGGGACCTGAAGCTTTGTAGGAAGGGTATAACCTAATTAATGTGAAAAATGACTCATATCACTTACTACATAAATTAGAATGCCTTTCATGAAGTCTAAGCTTTCATAGAAGAGTGGATAACTTTTTTTTTTGAGTCAGAATCTCTGTTGCCCAGGCTGGAGTGCAGTGGCACACTAACAGCCACCTGTTGGGCTCAGGTGATCCTTCCACCTCAGCCTTCGGAGCAGCTGGAACTACAGGTGCATGCCACCACGCCTGGCTAATTTTTAAAAATTTATCTTAGAGACGAGGTCTCACCAATTTGCCCAGGTTGGTCTTGAACCCCTGAACTCAGGCAGTCCTCTCGCCTTGGTCTCCCAAAGTGCTAGGATTACAGGCTTGAGCCACCTCGCCTGGCAGATTGAATAACTTTTAAAATTATCTAGTTACAGTTTATCTGAAACAATTTTCATACTTATGAAGAGTATCAAAAATAGTGATGTATTAAAAATCATAGACGTTTACAGGAAGATGCCCCTTCAGTGATATCAATACACATGTTTGTGTTTGACTGACTAATTTATCCTTTTTTCAGTCTCATGGACTTCGCTTTCCTTTATCACATTTGGATGCACTGAGGCAAATCTGGCACAGTTCAGCTATTTCTGTCAAGGACCTGAAACTTACTACAAATGAGGAAAAAGAAAGCCTGGTATTATCCCTCTGGACAGAATGTTTAATCCAAGTAGTCTAGTGCCTTTGCACAATCAAATATCTACTATCTTACATTCACATATTTTTCCAAAAGGGAACATTTGGGTCAGCAGACTGGGCAGGAGGAATGGTTACACACATGAGCCAAAGAGAAGAGGAACTCAGCTTTCCTGACCTGTGTGTCTACTAACTTGAGCCCCCCTGTCCCCTCCCCTGGTCACAGGTAGTCAATTGGCCATATGAACTAACGGCATATGGAGGAAAGAACAGCCAGTTACCACGTATTCCAGAAAGTGACTAAACCATACTACTTTTGACACGTTTATTTAATCCAGTGTGGTAGAAAAGGCACAACTTCAATAAATGTATCATTTCGAATTAAATGTCGTTAACTTGGCTTTGTCTTTGGAAGAAACAGCTTCTTTAAAGAGCCTCATTGGCTCCAGAAAAGTTTTAAACAACACAAAGAAGAACAATTTTTAACTTGGTTTTTTACAATGAAAGTATACATACCTTTGGGTATACACAAGACCCCCCAATAAAATAGTTATTCCTGTGATGTAAATTTCATTAAATAATACTGCCACACCAATGAGAGGCATTCAACATCTGTGGACATAAGGGAGTTTTACAGATGATAAGAGCCTGAGATTGAAGGAAAAAACCCCCAATATTTACATGGAAAGACCAAGTCTATAAAAAATACTCAAAATAGTGGGTCTTCATCTGAGTTTAAACTGTTAACTGTTATTTTACATTCTAAAGTGCATATAGGTTGATATTTTAAAAAATATCACTGGAGAATTTTAATCTTTATATATAAAAATAGAGCATTTTCTGCTTTCTAGCAAAAGTTGGGGATACAAGGAACAGCTGTCTCATTGTAGTTTTAAATCCAACTCAGGAGGGAAAAAAATGCTTGAGAATTGTGCAGTTAAAGGTGGTAATGACTACTGGAAACTAAGTCAAAGATGATTTCCTACCGAATTTTACTTAAAGCGATTTAAAATGGGAGTGAAAACTGAGTTTTCTGTCATTTCATAGAGAAATCAACTCCACTTTTGCTTGAAAAGTAAGATGGTAAGGTAAAAGCTCAAATACTTTAATTTGAACATTTAAAATTTCTCTTTACTTCAGGCAAAGACAAATTTGACTATTCTTATACTTAAATGACAAAGTCCTTAGGAAATGTTTCTTGAGGGCAGATCAGGCAAAATCTGGGGTGACGCCTCAGTGTAGGAACAGGTAATGTCCATCTTGTCACCTAAAGGCCCGTTTTTCTTAACACTAACAGAGTGCGAGTTTGGCCATTGGTTATTTGTGCTTTTTTGGTCTGAAGGACTGCAGAAGAACGGCTACAGAAAATATACTAATACTTGTGCCTTTTTCCTAACAAAGCTGAGTTCCCTCCCTGGGGCAGTTACAAGTAGAAATACTTTTGGGATGCTCCAGTTCTAAAAGCCTCAGTCTAGTAAGTTTAAGGTGTATCTAATACAGCAGCTTAATAGGAAGGTTTATGCAATACATTTTAGTTGCTGCTAGAAATTACTCATCTTTTTTTGCAAAAGTATGACTTGACCTAAAGGAGTTTGTATTCACACAAGCACCTAGTAGGATATTTACTGGTAGAGGATGATGCCGTCACCAGTTTCCTGTAATTGGGCCATCAGAAATAGGATTCATTTTTGGTGGACAGGAGAGAAAATACAGACTTCAGGAAGCTTTCCCACCACAACTGGAGCTCAATTAGGAAGAGAACCTTGCCAAGGATCATAACGTTTTCTTCACTGGAACACTGAATAACTGGCAAGAATATCTTGAGCTTTTCCACGGTTAAGAGCCATGGTCTTAGGTCAAGGAAACGGTTGATACTGCTCAGTGATCCAGGAGTGTGAGGGCAGGCGATTCCTTTCTGTGTACCTCCTTTGCTCTTTCTAGGGATATTGTTGATTCTCTCACAATATTTCAATGTCCCATTTCTGTGTTTCTTCTCCCTCCAGGGGCTGATTTACAATGACATGAGTCTTGTCACAATAATTTCCTCCTAAAGTAGAAATTCCAAAAGAAAAGATTATTTGTTCACACAGGTGCTCAGCAATTTCACAATTTTCACAAGCTTTTGTTCAGCTCACTGTTTGGGTAGATTACTATGTCTCTACAAAGCAGTCTGAAATGGGAGACTGAGTTTGAACAGGCTTAGCTATTATCCACCTCAAATTGGGCCTTATTATGACTCAAATTGAAAAAATAAAAAGTATAATACATGATTGTCTAAGCAGAGTGCCCTAACAATGCGAGTCTTCAGAACAAAGTGCTCTGAGAGAACTCTGGCTAAACGTCAGGTACTGTGTTTTCGTTTCTACACCACCAGTTATTGTGACTAACCCAATTACAGCAACAGCCATGAATAATATTGGCCCTGACCTTGCGAATTCAAAAACAAGGTTAATTGACACCTACCATAAAGTCTAACTGAGGACTTTTAAGGACCATGGCAATTCACAGCAAAAGTTGGAGCTGTTTCTTTCTAAGAAATATGATACTCATGGTTTATGGTGCTTCAAATTTGGAACTGTTCTTGAGTTCATGTAGCAAATGGAAACTTCACAACTATACAAATGGACAAAAAGCTTCTTATACTTTGTCATTTGGCTTTTTCTGCTAAGTCCCATATAACTAATTGTTTTGTTAAACTGCCTTTTTTCCCAAGCAAAATTAAAGATGACTTAACATTTCTCTTATGCATAAGGATGTCCTTTACCCAGGATGAGGTTTGGAGCTGAAACTGATTTCCAGGTACGCGTATCATTGGGTATCATCAAAGGCCCACCTTTAACATCAAGGACGAGCTGATCACTGAGATAAGAGCTGATGGTTCCATCTTTATTCAGTCTCCACTTCTGCCTGAATTGTCCATGTTCTGTCCACAGGGCCACCTTAGCTCCAGGTGTGTCCCGCCCACCGATCACATCAAGACAGGTATCACTGGCCTAAAAGGGTTAAGAAATATTTGTACTATGTTTGCTAACAAAAGTTGAATGGGGTCATTTTTCTTTTAGGGGACCAAATCATAGATATGAAGTATCTATGTCTATCTTTTTAAAAAAAATAATATTTCAACCTGAGAAAGATGGCTGGAAAAAAATTAAAAATTTATAAAAATAGAATAATTTCATTAAACCTTTTCATAAGCCTTCTTTAGCACAGAAAGAAAGCTACTGAAATAGAGGTACTTGTTTTTAATAGATGTTTGCATCTGACAACAGATGTTCAATAAAGGTTTTCTGAATTGGAATTAAATGTTAAGTTTCTTGTTGGCTTAAAATGTATTATGTTGAGCTTTGTTTTCTTATAAAAAAAACATTGGGTGATGTGCTAAGGATATCCAGACAATAATTACATTTAAATGCTTCTCATTTTTGAAGCATGAGAAAAAGAAGATAATTCATTGGTGATACAATAAAACATAGCTTCAGTGTTTTTAAACTAGTTGTTCTCTATTCTCCATGGCATCAAACATAATGGAGGTGTCATAGAAAAAAACAAACCTACACTTTATTTTCTAAGCTTCCTCCAATAACAGCTTCTTTCTTCTGCTACTACACTTCATTGTATATTTTGAAAAGGGTTTCAACACATTTGGCATTTCACAGACAGCTGATTTTACCTGGGCCATCAAGTAAGGAACACCTCATGAAAGCATAGTATCATTCAGATCCAGTGACTTGGTTTAAAAAATCATTTAAGTGTATTCATAGTATGTGATATTTTTACTTAAAAATTGAAACTGGCTGGGTGTGGTGGCTCACAACTATAATCCCGGCACTTTGGGAGGCCAAGGCAAGAAGATTGCTGGAGTCCAGGAGTTGCAGACCAGCCTACACATAGTAAGACCTCATCTCTAAAAAAACATAAAAATAAAAAATTGGGTGGGCATGGTGGCACACACCTATAGTCCTAGTTACTTAGGAGGGTGAGGTGGAAGGGCTGCCAGAGCCCAAAAGCTTGAGGCTGTGGTGAGCTGTGATTGTGCCACTGCACTCTAGTGTGGGTGGCAAAGTGAGACTCTGACTGAAAAAATAAATAAAATGATTTTCTAGATGAAAATATTCTCTAGGTCCATTTTACTTAAATGCTTTTTAATATACATAGCAGTATTTCTCTGAAGTTGCATTAATTTATGCCAGTTGATTTGACAAGATTCTAGTTACTAGAAGAAAAAAAAGACCAGAAAGTGGGGCACTGTATCAGTGAGGTTGTCTACCTTGGATTTAAAGAGTCCCCGACAGTAGTGCCAGATCTGAGTATTCTTCCCACTGTAGGGAGAGAGGCACACAGATGTTGACCTTGTGTCTGCCAGGTTTCCAGTGACTGTCAGGTACTCATCCAGGCCTCGGTTCTTTATTCTGATGTACACTGCAGGCTGTGATGGGAGAAACAGAGCCATTTAGAAATAACTTTTTGAACCTGGAAACGTCCTCCCAAAGGAGGAAAGCTGGAGGGAAGTGAGAGCTGACTAGCTTCCTTTATCAGTTTCACTCTTACTCCTTTTAGTAAATACATATAAATTCATACTTTCTAGTGATAAAGCTTTAGGCCATAGAGTACAAAATAAATTATACAATCTCTTACACTTACTGAAAAGTGCCCTTTTGAAAGGGTAGAAAGTATCAATGGTAGTTTCATTCACTGGAATTCTATGTGACAAGGGGTGGGGCAGTGAAGAGTTAGAGACTTGATGAGTTTCATTCAACAGCTCACATAGCCCGGCTCACGTGAGAGAAGTAGGGGAGTGATGATAAGGGCAAGGTGTCGCCTACAAGGATCTTATAACAACCCCGGAAAGACCAGTATGGCAATCAGACATACGGTCTTCAGCTATGATTAGATGCCAAAAGTCAGCTAGCTATGGGAGGTCTTGAAAAACCCAGAGAGCTGAGGGACATAATACTTGTGGTAATCTCTCTCTTCACATAAGACCTTTATATTTCTTCAAAGGAAGAGACATGTACGTTTAATCACTACTTAGTTATTCAAAAATTGGGTAATAGAGGACTTCGTCCTCTTGGCCTGGAAGTTCTAAAATACATATGGGAAGTTTTAAAAGAAAATATTAAATCTAGAACATGCCTCTAAAAATAATAGCTCATCTCTATTAAGCACTTAGTATATGTCAAGCAGCATTCTAAATGCTTTCTCCATTATGTTGTCAGAATAACCCAGGACAGCCCTTTAAGAAAATTCATTTATAGCCCTAATTTTATAAATTAGGGACACAGATACGGAGAAGACAGATCTGCCTGCACCAAAACTCCCCTTAACCAGGATCCTCTCAGGCCTGTGCTGAAATGAACTAGTCACTCTTGGGCACAGGGAATTAATACCAAAGGTGGCATAGTAAGACAGTAGAAAGGCAGGGTGCACGACTGAAGCTCAGCAGAAACCATTCTTTCAGCCCTATGACCTAGTCCTCAAGTCTTAATGTGGTAAAAGCAGACACCCAGCATCCTCATCTTTGGTCATCTAATTGGCATCCCAGTTAGAACCTTGGCAGGAATAATGACAGATGATCTGTTGTTTAATAAGAGAGCACTTGCATGCAAGGAAACCTAAGTGCTGTGTAAATGTAACATGGTATGGTAAAACCACCACTGACTAGTCTGCTGCTATCTTTGAAACTTATGATAGATCAACATGAGGCCAGTTGAATTTAGGTAAACTGCTGCCATGTTTAGCCTTCCTAGGGAAATCAACATTCTGTGCACTTAAGCCAATAGAAGGACAAATTATCTGGCCATTTAAAGCAGACGAACAAGACCACTACTTGGCAAAATGTTTTAAATGTTTCAGACCTCTACTTCCACATTCATAATGCAACAGTTAATGTACTTAAATTCCTATAATTCAGCCTGATCTCCCAGTGCAATCATTAATTCTTGAGGCTTCAGTATATCTTTATTACATTTTCATTACCTTGTACATATAAGAAAACAGATGTGACCTTCACAGATGACAGAGTTCCAATTACTTTAGGACCAAGTATCACAGTTTTAATCAATTAACTCAAGCAAGGTACTAATTACCGTTATTACACATGTGTAGTCTGACTCCTCTGTAATTATACTTAAAAACACTGATACACATTATAAGTACCTTAGTGACTTCCTAATTCCCAGCCTCAAGAAGGATCACATTTTAATTAGTCCTGAATTTCTAAATATGATTATGAACTAAAGCAGTACCAATGGCTTTACCAAAAAGTTAAATGTGACCCACAAACTGCTCTTTTAGAAACCCAGAATTCTTTAGCTGGGTTTCAAAGCTGTGGCCTAAATAATCAATGAGGAAAATCTATTAAAATATTATTTTGAAATTAAATGTTTTATCAGACTAGGAACCAGGTAGCTAGTTCCCAAAGCACAGTGAAAGAAAGTAGTGTATCATTTTTATTGTCAAAAATCTTCCTGTAAATGTAGCGGCCGCTGTTCTAGCTATCCTTTATTTCAGCACCCTGAGCAATGGGAAGGGACATTCTTCCCTAACAAGGAACCACCATTCAAAAATGAGGAACTTATACATGGTGTTAAACTTGGCTACTCAAGTTCCTAACAACAGGATCAGCATTAAACAGCTGTTAAAAGCTAAACTGACTTCTCAGTACTTGCTTTTGGCCTTGGCTTTTCGGTAGGGGTCCCTCATCATCCCACATGATAGGAGTGAGGAATAAACCCCATATAAAGGTCATGAGATCCTGTCCCAAACAACATTTTAGGCCAGGAAAGCCACTAATGTTTCAGTATCCCTCAGAAGAGCATCTCTGGCTCTCTCAAGGCACACTGTGAATGATAAACTTTCAAAATAAATGTATTATCCTAGTAATATGAGCCAGATGTTATATCAGACCCTTTGCATGCCTGATGGTATTTCACCCCCACAGCAGTGAGATGTAAGCCATGTGGTCACTGTTTTGCCAGTGATCCGAGGTGCCAGGACATGCAGTGACTCACCAAAGTCACAACTGCTTACAAATGGCAGAGCTGGGATTTGAACCAACAGAACCCAGGAGAGGTGAGGATGAACATGTGTGTGTGCACACGTGTGAAGGTGATGGGAGAAGACTGATGAGGTTAATTGTTTTTTGGCTTACCATTTGTTTAGCACTTAAGTGAGTGTCAGATCAGAATGTCAGAGCTTCCCATGTGCATCCCCTGTGCTACAGAGCTCCATCCTTGGAATTCGGGGTGACACTCCCTAAATGCTGAGTTTAGGCCGGAGGAAGGTCAAGTGTGGTTGTGTAAGAACACAGATTTTAGAGCATAACAGAATGGGGTTTGAGTCCTGGTTCTGACACTTCCAAGACCTTTTGCCAATGTGCTTTACCCCTCAGAGCCTTATTTTTCCAACTAGAAAGTAGGGTTGACGATTCCTACCTCAAAGGACTGTTGTCAGCATCACGTGAGAAGGTGTTTCTCAAGAGGTTAGAGGAAGGTACAAATGGCACATCCACTGACCATCACGCCCCTGCAGCCTCGCTTGAGTTCTCCACTTTCCATGAAACCTCAGCTTGATCCTACACATGTTGATTACTTCCATACTCTGAACCAGGCACTGCCAGAGGCTTTTTGATGATAATATATTGTTTTGTATTTTATTCTACTGCTTGGAGTTGGATATGTTTTACCCAACAAAAATGTGAGCTCTAATAAGGCAGAAGTCACATCTTTTTATCTTCCATTATACTCTGCATAATATCAAACATTCATTCTTCCATTTACACCCTCACTCCTTCATTAAACAAACAGTCTCTGAGCTCCCACAATGTGCCAGATATTGTGACAGGCACCAGGGGTCGAGCCATGAGCAAAATGTGCACAACCTGCCTCCAGGGGGTTTTCAGTAGAGGGGGAAAGAGCCCGATCCAGCCATGACTGGATGGTTACAAACCACATACAGGGTCTTGCAGAGAAAAAACCGAGTCTTTTAGGGTCTAATTTAGATTGGGAGGGAGGGTGGAAGGGGCATCCTTGGGGACATGATACTGAAGCTGAATGTAGAAGGATGACCGGCCGAGTAAAGAATGAGGGAAGCACACTCCGTGCAGTGGGCACGACCCGTGCCTGGAGCCTTTGTGGGAAAGCACTGTGCTCAGTGTCCATGATGCTGCCATGTGAGAGATGAGCTGGAGAGGTGGGGGTGGAGGACTGATCACACAGGCCGGGTTGAAGAGTGTAGACTATCCTAAGCACAGTGGGAAGCTTTTGAACAGAAGACTGACGAGCAGTAGGTGTGCAATAAATACTGTTTTTTTTAAAATGCCAGGATCTATCCTGAGTATTGTGTAAGTAGGGAAAAAAGTCCAAATACTTAGAAAGTACAACTAGTGTAGTATCAAAGCTCAGTCCACAGTTTGCCACAGAGCTTGCAATATCTTAGTTCTCAATGAAAAGTGCACATGGTCGATAAGAATTTGGACTCAAAGTTAAAATCCAATGTTGACCCCAGATAAGGTTTTACAAATTGGTCAAATCTACAAGGTTTCCCCATCCTAATCCACTCCCCCTGCTACAGGGCAAACTAAATTACATGGCCATCACTTCAGATGCTGTGGTTTATGACATTTCCACCGGAAAATCAAGCTATTTGGGATCTTACGGTTCTTTTCTCCTTACCTGCTTCATGGGACGAAGGGAACCAATTGTTTTCCACCTACTGAACGCTGTCCAATTTGGGATCTCAGTAGGCTCAAGTAGGATTTGTCTTCCCAAGAAATTGGATCCTTCATAAGCTATCCATCTATGAAAGCAAGAAAGAAAAAGGTGAAATACTTTAAAAGAAAAAAAAGCCATCTTTTATCCAAAAACCTGTTATTATTCCTTAAAGGATTCATAAAATTCTAGGTTTGCTAGTTTAAAAAAATAGGATTATTGGCTGGTTGTGGCAGCCCATGACTGTAATCCTAGTACTTTGGAAGGCTTAGGTAAGAACACTGCTTGAGCCCAGAAGTTTGCGACCAGCCTGGGCAACATAACAAGACCTTGTCTCTACAAAAATAAAATTAAAATTAAAAAATTAGCCTGGCATATGGCTGCAGTCCCAGCTACTTGGGAGACTGAGGATGGCACATGCCTTTAGTCCTAGCTACTTAAGAGGCTGAAGTGGGAGGAGCACTTGAGCCCAGGAGGTCAAGACTGATGAGCTGTGATCATGCCACTGCACCCTGGGTGACTGAGGACTGAGGCACCTCGACTCAAAAAAAAAAAAAAATGCATTTTTTTCCTAACAGAAAAATCAAGATGGTTTAGGAGAAACCTGCACTGGAGTCCAACTAGGATACTGGTTTCCTTACTTTCAGAATGAATGAAAGGTTCCGTCCATCTCTGAAATTCGATATTCCTTCGATAACACTAAGTCTTCTTCAACCATAACTTCCCGCTATTACCCAGTAGAAGAATACTTTCTTGTCCTTCGGGTTATCACCACATGTCCTTCAGGGTCCCTTGGGGTGGCTCCAGTGATCTCTCCAGAAATACCTTCATCCACAACTTGCCCAAGGCCCGAGGACTTCTTACGGTTATCCACAGAAGTCCTCCATCTCACTGTTACTTCAAGGCCCGGCTCCTTCACAAATCCTTTCCAAAACCCTTGCCTTCAACTCTGGCTGTGTTAAAGTGTAAAAGTGCACAGGGCCTCACGGGCAGCATCTGCCATCTCAAAGCGTATTGAATGGGGCAAGTCATGCCCACTCCTTCATGGACTGGCTTTGGCAGCCCTAGCACATCAACTTCAGTAGTTGTGACAGAGACAGATGACCCCAAAATTGAAATGACTATCTGGCCCTTTACAGAAAAAGTCTGCAAGCCCTGCTTCAGGTGATTACCAAGCCAGGTAGCTAAGGACAATGAGCTGGAATTGCCAAGAGGACCTGAAATCCTCAGCAGGACTCGAGGTCACTGTACACAATGCTTAAGAAAGGATGTGGGGAAGACGAGGCTGCCTTGGTTTGTTCAGATAAAGTCCCTGGAATTATAGCAGGGGTCACCCTGCCTTGGACCAAGAGATGGGCTCAGAGCACCAGCAGTGGAAAAGGCGGTCTGCCAACCAGTTGGACCAGTGCTCTGGAACAGGGCCATCTAGGGTTTAGGCACAAGATGCAAAGGGCTGCTCTGGGCTGATGTGGCAGTGACTCCAGCTCCTCAGTTTTCCAGAGGACAGCTTCTAAAACTAATGGAGGGCTTGGGGGCTGAGAACTCAATTAAATATTCCTTAGGGGCTTGGACCTCGGGTAAAATACAGGAAATGACATCAACTTGTGGGGCGAAGGGAGGAACTGAGGAACTTGATGTAGTATAAACACGAAAGCTTCAGTAGGGGTTACTGACCTAACCCAACCACCAGGAGGAAAAGTGCACCCTGCTCCCCACAACCGAGATCCGGCTTGGTCAAATTATGGCAGATGAACAAGATGGATGACCCTTCCTCGACCCTTTCTTGCCTACACAAACCTAAACAATCAGACCAGTGCAGACGCAGGTAAGCATGACTACAGAGAAGCTTAGTTACCTCTCCAGCTTCACAGATTCTTTAAATATACAGGGAAGTTTCAGTTATAAAACTAGGCAGGATTTTAAGAAGCTGTACCTACTAATATATTGATGTAATTGAATTCCACAGCTGGCAAGACTGTGGGATGGCGCATTAAAGCATGGCTCTCATTACCATCACGGGTCAAAGATACGGGATCACATGGGGATTAAAACAAAATAAACCCAACTTGTCACTGGAAGAAGGTGGCTGTGTGTGAAGTGGTACCCTGTAAGCCACAAGCGACCTAGGAAAATCTTTAGGCAAGCTTAACTATTCCTTACCAGTTCTCTTATAGAGATTCTTGAGTAGTGAGAGTAGGTGGATAATAAGCCAAAGAGAATAAGAATGTCAAGGTAAATGGCACCAGTTTTCCAGAAAAGAGTGAAACAAGAAACTGAGAAATTTTCAGAGGTGAGTCAACTCTCAATTTCACTCAAAAATGTAAAGACAATAAATGTATTAAAAATGTGGTGAATATCATATCAAAGATGAAAAATTAAGTTCCAATGAACTTAGTTAATGGGTAAATAATACATTGTAATCTTATGCTTAGATAAAGTAAATCAACTTGTTTTAAGAAACATCAAACCATGTGAAATGCTTTGCAGAAGAAAATTCAAACTATTACACATATGAATATTATAAAAGCCTTATTGTAATAGTTGACTTGCTTTTGCAGTCAACTTATATTCTTGGCTTTCTCATTCATTATCCTCAGATATTTAAATAAGTAGAATTGATTACCACACAATTTAAAAGCCATAATAAATTTGTTTAAAAGCCATTTTTATATTAATCATCAAGAGCTATGCGTTTTTAGTTGACTTCTGGTACCAAAACACCACCAGTACAGCAGCAGGGGCTGTCTTATATCCAAACTCTGGAGAAATGGCCTGAGGGGAGCAAATAGAGGTTCTACTTCAGGGCCCCCACTCACAGGCCTCTCTCATTTTTGTTCTAAGTAAATACATTCATACCTAATTGTTGTATCCGTAATTTTTCATTTTTCTTAAAGGCAGCTTCCCAAACTATAGCAGCGCAGGCCCCACATGGCCTCATCTACTCTGATTGACCAATACCCTAAATGAACGACAGCACTGCTAGGCTGGGTCAACCAGTGCACTCCATGTAAAAATGAGCACCCTGGAGGGAACTGCTCCAGAAGAAACAAGTTGTTAAATCACAATAGAAGAAACCACTCTTTCTTGCACAGTCATTTGCCTTAAGCAGGCAATGCTCTTAACCCAAGTTGATGACTCACTAAAATTTCTTCTGAAAAGAAAGTGGGCTCAACCCGGTAAAGCCATCTGGTCGACCTACTCTAGGCCATGCTCTAACCATGTGGCAGCCCTTCTCTTCCAAGTACTCTTTCCCTAGACTACTGCATACTACAAGGTGGGGTCAAAAAAAAACAAGAACCAGAATTATGTTTTGGAGGTTGGGCCGCTTGTAGTACAGGATTCCCTCGCTAGGTAAGGTTTCTTGGAACCCATTGGCATCAGTATGCCAGCTAGCATTGTTGTATGAGGCTACGTTCAGCTTTGGTGAAATTTTTTTTTGGCAGGGGGAGATTCTTTCAGTGTGTTTGCTCATTTCATGGTGGGTGATTTACGATCACCTGCCCACACAGCACTGCATGTTCAGCAGTTTTGGACCAATAACTACGTGATCCACATGCCCCACCCTCTCTATTTACCCAATCTCACCCCGTGTGACTTTTCTTTGTTTCCTTGGATGAAAAAAGTCCTCAAAGGGAAACGTTTTGCCAATGTGGAAGAGTTGAAACAGAAAACAGCAGAAGCACTAAAAGGCATCAACAAGAACGAGTCCAAAAACTGTTCTGAGCAGTGGAAACAGTGTCTCGACAGGTATATTGCATCAAATGGGGAGTACTTTCAAGGTGACTGAAGTTTAAACATGTAAGAATAAATACACTATTTTTTATGAATAAATTCCAGGTTTTTTGGTTTTCCCTTTGTATACATGAACATGATTCACAGTCTTCTCTCATTATTATTACTATTATTATTACTATTATTACTACATCAAGAGATAAAAGGAGTAAGGGCACCACCAGACCAAAACAACAGCACTGGGAGAATACACAGCAGCTGTGCAATGCTGTCCTAAAACAGTGTCTGAACCAGACCAAGGCCTTCTCCCATACTTACAGTCCACTCTTCACCCATACAGACTGCGTGTAGAAGTGCAAGTCCTTGTTCAGAACAGAGTTCACAGCCTCTTCTAGGTGTAACTCTCTTCCTTCACAATGTTCCAGAGCAAAAAGGCTGATGGAGGGCTCTTCAAAAACCTAATAGCATAAGAAAGAGAAAGCTGATTCACCATTCAGGGTGGCCATACCTCAGTGGCATTCCGTTCTGAACGCAGGGAACCCTGAGCCCAGTGTATTCTCAAATGCAGAAAGTTTACTGCTCTACCCTCTGAGGACATTACAGTCAAAACTGCACTGGTGAGATGGGATTCTATTAATAATTTTTATTCACTCTTTTGTAAATTAAAATTATCAGAAAAGCAAACAATCTCATAATAAAAATGGACACAATGCTCAGCCTCACTAGTCATCAAAGAAATACAAATTAAAACCACACAGACTTACCACCTAACTCCAGTCAGGATGGCCATGATCAATAACTCAAAAACAACTGATGCTGGAGGTGATGCGGGGAAAAGGGAGCACTTCTACACTGTTGGTGGAAGTGTAATTTAGTACAACCTCTGTGGAAAACGGTTTGGTGATTCCTAAAAAATCTAAATATCAACCTTCCATACAACCCCACAGTCCCCCTACTGGGAATATACCTGGAGGAACTCAAATCACTCTGTGAAAAAGATACCTACATGCATGTTTATTGCAGCATTGTTCACAATAGCAAAAACATGGAACCAACTGTGCTGCCCATCAGAAGAGGACTGGATAAAAAAAAAAATGTGGTCCATATACACAATGGAATAGTAGGCAGCCATAAAGAAGGACAAATTATGAACTTCACAGCAATTTGAATGGACTTAAAATCTATAATACTGAGTGATCTATCACAAAGAACTGAGTACCACATGTTCTCATTCATAAATGGACCTTGAACAATTATCATAATACTATAAGAAAGGGATTAGCAGTAGCGGGAAACTGCTGTTGGGGAGGAAGGTGGGGTTGGCAGTAGTGGGAAACTGCCAGGGGAGGGGGCTCACCTCATCAACAAGGGTACCTGCATAATGAACATTTATATATCTAACTCTGTACCCTACATCTTTAAAATTAAAGATTAAAAAAATAAGATGATATTAAAAAATGATACCAGAAAACTCTACTCAAATAAAATTAAACAAAATTAACTTTGAGGAAAAAAAAAAAGAAAAGGACCAACTGGTTCCAAATTACATATCAAGGTCTCGCTTGCTATAATATGGACCACAGACTGGTGCTACCATTGCTCTTAGCTGATCACAGAATAAACATGAAATGGAATGGCACCCTCACTTCCCAGCTCACAGAGCAGTCCCTGGAATGCAAGATTTATGGTGTTCAGCTTTGAAAAACATTCCTGGAGGAGAGAAAATAAGGCATTTTTAATTTAAAAAAATGAACGGCGGTTATTTCTGCATTAAAATTAAGCATTCCCTGAACTCATCATATCAGACAGGAATAGACTCAGTATTGCTCTTTTTCATTTATCAGGATACGCAAGACACCATGCTAAGACTTTTAGGAGATGAGAGATCAAAACAAGAGGCCATGTTGTGTTTGGGGCATTTTACTAAGTAGCAGTTCAACTAGGAGACTTGCACAGATATTGTAACATAGAAGGGTAGAAAAGGATACACACCTTGTGAGACTACTCAATAGAAGGCTAGACTATTTTTAAGCAGAAGGGAGTGGGAAGCAAGGAAGCTTCGTGAACATGGTGGCGTATGAGCTCAGTGTCAGAATATGATGAATTTTGAAGGCAGGCAGAGGGTTAGAGGGAAGGCATTCTGTGCAAAGACGACAGACAGAAACACCTGGGAGGTTTCAGGGGCATGGCAAGCAGACCCATCTCTCCACAACACAGAGCCTAGCAGGAGCCAGTGGCAAGTGTCCCACTGTTTGTTACTGTGTATTGAGTTTCCTGCTTCCCATCCTACACAGCAGGGCAGAGATGGATGTGTTGTCAGTGGGAAGTCCTTGAAGGCTTCGGAGTTCAGGATAAGATGGGCCGAAGTACCTGTCACTTGGTACATGAGAGGCAGAGCATTAGCAGCAGGGACTGAGCAGAGTCAAAAACCTGTCAACCAACAGAAGACAACTGGCTCTCACAGTGACCTGCAGATACATGTGCCTAAGGGCAGAGTAATATAGCAAAGAGTTGCTCCTTGCAGTCATGTCTGGAATAGCAAAGGATGGGGAATGATTTAAATGCCCATCGAGAGGGGATTGGTTAAATAAGTTATGGAACACTCATAGAAGAGTCTCATACAGCTGTAAAAAAGAATAAGGAGCTCTTCATGGGAAGATCACTGAGATATATTCTCTAGAGATCAATACAAAGTGCGGAATAGTGTAAAGTAGCATATTTCACATGCTGCTGCCATTTATAGAAAAGGAATATTTATGCACACACACTTATTTATGTCTATGCATGTGTATACACATGAAAACACTTCTTAAAAAGATAAGAAAACCTGTAACCATGACAACCTGTTGGGAAGACAGCATTTGAGATGATAAAGGGCACTCGTGGGAGCAAAGTTTTTCACTAAAGGTCTTTTGGTACTTTCTAATTTTTGAACCATGGGAATCATTATTTATTCAAAAATTTAAATTGATATTTATCATACATGCTTTTAAATGAACTTCAGGAAACGTATCTGGCAACAAGAGTGAAAAATAAAGAGAATGAAGTTCCAGCACCACTATACTGGCGGAATACTCTAGGTCAAAGAAAAATAGAACTAGATCTAGAACAGCTAATGAGGAGAAGGCCAGGAATGAGGGACAGCCAGGAAAGTCACATGGTGACAAAAGACAAACTAAGGCAAACACATAAATGAGTAAGTGGGGAAAGTGGTGTGAAAGTCACAGCTGGGGGCATGGTGGATATCTGTCTCATAGAAGGAGATCAGGAAGAAAGGCATGCTCAGATGCTTTTTGGGTTTTTTTTGAGTTGGAGTCTCTGTTGCCCAGCTGCAGTGCCATGGCACGCTCATGGCCACCCCTAGCATCGACCTGCTGGGCTCAGTCGATCCTTCCGCCTCAGTCTTCCAAGTAGCCAGAACTACAGGAGTGCACTACACGCCCAGATAATTTTTTTTATTTATTGTAGAGACGAGGTCTCACCAAATTGCCAGGGCTCGTCTCAAACTGTGGGCTCAGGCAATCCACTTACCTCGGCCTCCCAAAGGGCTGGGATTATAGGCTGAGCCACCGAGCCCAGCCTCAGATGTTTTAATGTTGAGAAAGAAGCAGGATCATCTTACTGAGATGCCCAGCATTCACTGAACCTTTTGCTGTGGAGTTCAGGGTAAAGACCAGGTATAGAGGGGTTAAATTTGGGAACCCTTGAGAATGTGGGTGACAGCAGGAGCCATGAGTGAGAAAACGGACAAGGCAGGAGGACAGAATGTACACAGGTGGGTGGTGATGATGGAGGGGAGGTGGAGGTGACTGAACAGCTGAACAGGAGAGGAGAGCCAAAGCACAGGCCCTTACATCATGGAGGCGAAGGGGAGAGAGAATTACCGGGCAGACTAGCCCCACAGCATCACACTCTTCACACACTGAGGAAAGCAGTGGCTAAGATGTGGCTGTTTGAGTATGGCGACCAGGAGACAGCTAGCTGGTAACCCTGACAAGAGCTGTGTCAGCACCATGGCAGAAATGAGGGTGAATGTAGGACATGAGGGTGGACGAGCGAGTGGTGAGGAACTGCAGACAGGGTGTCCACACACTATTTCTTAGAGAAATTTGGTGAAGAAAAGGAGGGACGTGGAGTAGGGGCCTATGAGCATGCCTGTGGGCACCATGGAAAGTGGTAGTGCATGGAGAGAAGCTGAATAGTGAAGACAAGAGGGACGTTCCCAAGGAAGAAGCGAGAGGTCCAAACCACTCCCTCCCATCAGCTCAGCATCTCTGGCTGGAATGATGTTCACGAGGAGAGGGACTGTTTTGGAAAGGACAAACTACATCTCCTCTGAGATAAAAGATGGCAAAAAGATGCTGAGAAATTTCTACTTAAAACAGGGAAATGAGGGTAACCCCTTCAGGACCCCTCCCACTGAGGGAGCTTTTCTGTTCTCTCAATAGACCCTGCTTAAAAAAAAAATAGGAAGCCGGGCTCAGTGGCTCAAGCCTGTAATCCTGCACCTTTGGGAGGCTGAGGTGAGTGGATTGCCCGAGCCTGCGGGTTCGAGACCCGCCTGGGCAGCGAGACCTCATCTCTACAATAAATCAAAAATTAGCCAGGCATGGTAGCACGCGCCTGTAGTTCCAGCTACTTGGAAGGCGGAGGCGGAAGGATCGCTGGAGCCCAGCAGGTCGAGGTTGCGGTGGCCGGGAGCGGCCACTGCACTCCAGTCTGGGCGACAGAGTGAGACTCCGACTCAAAAAAAAAAAAAAATAGGGAAATGTGTGAGTACATTTTTCTTCACATTATGTGGCCAACTGACATAGTTTGGATGTTTGCCCCCTTCCGCCTCATATTGAAATGTGATCCCCAGTGTGAGACACTACATTCCAGCCTGGGTGACAGAGCGAGGTCCTGTCTCAAACAAACAAACAAAACCCCCACAGCCCTAACTACAGTGGTGGGCTTTTTTCAACACCTCCTATGTGGTGGAACCTGTTGGGATATGCTTGGGTCATGGGGGCAGATCCCTCATGAATGGCCTGGGACCAATTTTCACAGTAATAAGTGGGTATACACTCTATTAGTTGACAAGAGGGTTGTAAACTCTTTTGCTCTCTCGCCAACCACTGTCAGGCGTGCTCCTTCTCCACCTTCCGCCATGATTTTAAGCTTCCTGAGGCCTTGGCAGATGTCAGTGCCATGCAGAACCATGAGCCAATATAAACCTCCTTTTTTATAAATGACCCACTCTATTTCCTTATAGCATTGCAACATGAATTAATATACCAATGTTGCCTGCTGGTGATCAGGGAAGGGCTGAGCACGGTCCTGTAGAAGTTTCTGCAGTGATAGAAATGTGTGTATCTTCTCTCTCCAATATGGTAGCCACTAGCCATATGTGGCTACTGGATACTTTAAAAGTGGCTTGTGTGATGGAGAACTGAATTAATTTAATTTAAATTTAAAT